TCGTATAAGGAGGTGTTAATTACTTTGATTCAAGGGTTCTTGCTCCAACATAAGCTTGGATCATTGGGCTGAGGATTAGGGTTGCCTTATCAAAAGTAGCTCCACGGGAAGAAGAGAGGGAGTAAGTAGCTCGAGATCATTCCGAGGGGACCGACTAGATCAAGACTAGGAGAGATGATCCCCATGATGAGAAGAATCCATACACTCAATCCATTGCTTCTACCCCTCCCCGATGCAGCTGGGACCCGTACTCAGATTTCAGCCACTGTAGTTCAAATGCAGCCTGACGACTGAGTGAAGGTTGGGAGTGGGCTGCTCGGGTACGATCTAAAACGATCCCACATTCCAGAAAAAACCGGACAATGGGAAGCCTTCGTTGAGTAATGGGAAGCGGGCTAGTCCCCGAAAAAGCCTTGCCAACTATAAGAAAGAGTTGTGGCTCAAAATCAATCAGCAGTTCCTAGGTTCTCAGTAACGTGGCCAGTCAGCGGGCAGGAGGGAGGGAAGCTTACCTTGACTTGTTGTCCGGGCAGATAAAACAGCCACTCGCTATTTCCAAACATAGAATCAGTTGCATCACCCAGCCCCAATTTAGAGTTGGATTTATGGCAAACAAGGAATTTCCGGCAATAAGGATATCATAAACATAGTTTGACAACATTCGAATCTCACCATCCATTATTGGAGTTTCAATACAATGATCGTCCAACGAAATCCCATATCGCTAGTAGCTTGATGAAACTTAAGGTACCATACCACTGTTTCAAGTCATATAAAGAAAGACTTTCTTAGCTTGCAAACTTGATCTTCATGCCCAAGAACCTAAAAACCTGGCCTGGAGGTTGTACCATTACCATATATATAAATCCTCGAGTTCACATTTCAAAATGCTATTTGTTTTTAGATCCCCATCTGATCTTATTCAAAATCCAAATGAGCGACCATAGCAGCGACAATTCTAATAGATGTCAACTTCTCCACAGGAGCAAATCTTTCTTCATAATCAATCCCACCCCATCCACTATGAGATGTGAGAAGCCCCGAGCAACCAATTGCGCCAACGAGATCAAAATGGAGTCGTCACTCTTGCGCTTCACCTGTCATACCCTGACTACACGGAACGAGACAATTCGATTGTCTTCACTCCTTCTGGTAATGGGACAAGTTCCCATGTCTCATTCTGATTTAAGCTGTTCAAGTAGAAATCTCCTCTTTCATCGCCCCACTCTTTCAGGCCAACCGCTTCTTTAAATGAGCTTGGTTCTTCTACTTTCTGGAGAGGCACAAGACTATTAAAGTGTCACAGTGTCCGCATAGCTGGCTTCTGTATACTTGGGATTGATTGGGCTTCCTGATCCTTGTCGATCTTCTACTTCTAAGTCTGCTATCAAACACAGTGCCTTCAGCAGGGATCCTCTTGAATATCTTGTTGCTCTCTTCTAGACATGCCATCACTCTTTGTTAACAGATCGCGGGCCTTGGGCTTTTTTTTCTTTGATAGGAGGGCTTTGTGTAGCTTTTTTGACTCAGGTCCAAAGTGACTCACAATATCAGGCTCTTTCTTGTTGCTCAGGTGCTTGTGCCCGTATACGGAAGTCTAGCATCCTAGAATACGGCAGTACTACATTTTTGGAGGACCATCATGATGATGTCTCATAAAAAACGAGATGTGGAGATACAGATTTTGTAGTCGGATCAATGCACCTCAACCTACGCTGATCATAGCCAACAAAGATGCACCAACTAGCCCGCCTTCTTTTCCAGCTTCGTCCGTAACTACTCAGAACACATAGCAGACGCAGCCAAAGACTTTTCAATGTTAGTAACAAAAAGCTAATTTTTCTTGGGGTTTCCTTTTTCAAAACAGCGGTTGTACGTTCTTCGCATGCGCATCATGCTTCGACAAGTTTCGCCCTTCTTTCTGCAACTCTATTTTGCTGTGGAGTGTGTTGTGTGAGCAGCTAAACGGATAACGGACTTGAATCATCAAACTCTTGCAACGTGTATTCTCTACCATTGTCGTCAGTCCTCAGGCATCTTTTTCTTTGATTGAGTTCATTTTCCACCCCCTCTCTTTAGAATCTTCACTCTCATTTCCTTGGCCATAGCACAGTCTCAACAAAGTAATCATTCTTGAATCCTCTGATTCTTTCTTTCTTCTTTAATGTCTTTTTTCTTTCAATCCTTTAACTGAACTTGTTTTGATCAATCTTTCTTCTGTTTACAGGTCCGAGTTATTTGGGTTTTGTCTTCAATGCCACGGATTGATTGATTTCCCATCAGAGGACTAGAGGAGGCCGCCGGCTGTCGTCAACAATGCTATCTGAGTATGAGCGGGTTCTGGTGCTTGAAAGGGGCGGTGTAACGTACGTAAAGCCTAATCTGATGACCCAGTCAGTCTTCCTCACCACTCTCATGGAGGTGCTTTTGACTCCCCGGTGCAAGCCTGAACCTCCGAAGACGGCGTCCCCAATGCCCGAGGCTGGGTTCTTGATGGCAGTAGTGCTATCAATGCCGGGTTCTATAGTCGAGCCGATCAATAATTCAACGAAAGGTTAGGAGTGAATTGGGACCTTCGAGTGGTCAACAAGTCCTATGAGTGGGTTGAGAGGGTTATCTTAGGTTAGGCCGGAGCTCAAGAATTGGCAATCCGCAGTTAAAGACGGGCTATTGGAAGCCGGTGTTGATCCCTATAATGGTTTGACTTTGGATCATTCAGTGGGTACCAAGATTGGTGGTTCGACATTCGACAGTTCTGGTCGTAGACACAGTGTTGCTGATCTCCTCAGCTATGCGAAAGCTTTGAATATGAGAGTGTAGTCTATGCAAGCTATGCAAGTGTTGAAAGAATTCTTTTAGCCTCTTCTTCGTGGATCGAAGCAATCGGTAATTGGGGTTGTTTTTTGCGACCAAAGAAAGAGGGCTATGCAATGCAAAGGGAGCGGTGATCCTCTGTGCTGGGGCTCTCGGAAGCCCACAGGCTTCCGCTTCTGAGTGGCATTAGACCGAGGCCGTCCCTCTCATCGTGGGGAATTCCTCTGTCTCATTACTTGCCTTATGTCGGACAGTTCCTCTAGGAGAACCCCCGAAATGGCATCTCAATTGTGCCCCCAATCCCATTGGAGCACTCTCTGATACAAGTCGTGGGCATAACCAATTCAGGGACAAGGGCTTACCTTGAAGCAACTTCCAATCTCATACCTTTTGTCCCCGGCTCGCTCTCTTTTCATTCGAAACCCAGCTTCACCACTCTATCTCACTGTGGCTACCCTGATGGAGAAGATTACTGGGCCACTCTCTATTCACTCCGGTTGCCATCTACAGATGTCAGAGTTAACCCAATTGTACGATTCAACTACTTTAGTAATCCGGGTGACGTATGTGGATTGGTGTGTGAATGGCACCTGCAAGATGGGTGATGTACTGAGGAGCCGTTCCATGGAGGATTTCCAATTCAGGGAATGGTTTGTTTGGGGGCCGAGATTGAATATACGTGCCCCCTGCATTGCCCGTTGATCAATCAAATGATTGGCTGATTGGAGAGTTTTGCCCGCAGTGAGTACTATATGGCACTACCATGGTGGATGCCTTGTGGGCAAGGTAGTTGATCGCAATTTCAGGGTTATTGGGATTGATGCTTTTCAAGTTGTTGATGGTTCGATATTCACTGTATCACCAGGGACCAATGCCCAGTCCCCTCTTTTGATGCTTGTATGGTCAGTGTCTTTCTTGTTATCTGAATGCTTCAATCTTTTTGTTGGTTTGTTAGAGTTGACTACTTACCCTGTTGTGCCAAAAGGAACTATAAGCGGACTGTGCTGCGAATTTGCTAGCCATTTACCAGTATTTCCTCTTCTGCTTCTGTTTTTGGGTTTCTTCTTCTCCTTTCCCCTTGTGAACACAATCAAATCCGAAAAAATAAGAAATTGGTGATTCTCTCCAATTAAGAAAAAAGATTGAAAAGACCCTCTCGGGTTTCTCTTTCATTTGCCAGTTCCAAATCTGCATTGTTAGTCAACTGCTGCACCATTTTTCTTACAGGATGCCAAGTTAAAGAAGATAAGGCGAGTGGATAAGGTCCGAAACCCAATAAAACATTTATGCTCGTGGCCGGACAAGAAAAAGATGTGGGAGCAATGGCACTCAATCACAAACCCTCTCTTTCCCTTTCGGTAAATTACTTGGTATTTTTGTCTTCTTCGCCCTTCTCTGTCCAGCTCAAGCTGATTAAAAAAACGGATTTGTTTCGGAAAGCGTTCCGCCCCTCAGTCTTGGACATTTTGGCGGGACTTTTCCTGCCCTACATTCTAGTCACGAATCCAAAACTTCTCGCTCCCACCGGCCGGCTCTTCCCTTTGGCTACTCTAAAAAAGGTACTGACGCTTCACACCCCATCTCGACGAAAATCAGGAAACTTATTGCAACTACATCAAAAATCGAGAAAAAAAGACGTGAACGGCCCCTTTCTTAGAACTAATTCATAGGGGGCAACGTGTGATATATAAAAATATAAAAGAAGAAAAGATATGAAGCATCCACTTGGTGCTCATAATATCTTTCTCGATGTTTTTTGTATAAGGGATTGATTCTTTCTTGGAAGGGAGCTAGGTAGATTTAGATCGATCGAATCTACTAACTAATTGGTTTAGCCTATCGATGTCCTTGAGTCCAATGAGGATAAAGAGGATGGATGGCCTGGCTTCTTTAGCATTTTATAGGAGTGGATAACAGCGGAAAAAAGGATGAAGTATTAGCATTAGCATGAGAGAGCAGAAAATGACACTAAACAAAACAGAAAGAGAAAGGCATAGGGTAGTTAAGGGGGACTCATCACGAGTATTTATTATTATACTCAATGCAAGCATCACTAAGGTCTAATATCTTTCTCCGGCAAAAGTCGAATAACAGAAGTATGAAAAAGAAAGGGGGAACCATGTGAAGCAGACCAGCAACCAAATATTACCAAAGGCAAGAACGGTCCGCACCAGTATAGGGGCAGGGTATTTAGGCTCCTCCCTCTCGTACGCCACTGGTTAGGTAAGAAACAAACTCAGGTTTGGGGGAGAGTGTCAAGAATCGGGTCAGATTTAGCCGGCATGTTCTAGCCGCCCTCAAGGCACGAGATTCCATTCCGATTTCCGAGGCCCAGAAGCTCGAAGCATCCCAGCTATGAAGATGAAGAGACACTCCTAGTTACCAAGTGGCCCGTTTGGTTGATGATTCGTTCACCTGCTTGCTCGCTTCCAACACAAGCACACTATCCTTTGTTCGCCCTCTACCACACGGAACGGCTCCCCTAAAAAAAAGGGGCACTTAGACGCCCTAGGTCCATTAAAACCTTTTTCTCCCTTATTATCAATCAAAGAGAAGGCAGCCGATGCGGCTTGATGTCTCAGACCATTACATTAAGGATACAAAAAGGCAATGTAACAAGGGGCCAAGCGTACCTACCGTGAAGGAACAGGATGAGGCAGAAGTACTCCCCGCGCATACTAGTATTAGATAAAACGGTTCCAACTACATGTATGCCTTCGGTTAAAAAGGTAGACAGAGTCAACCTCCATACACCTCTGGTCACTCCAGCCTTTCTATGAGAGTGAGAATGAGGGGGATACTGAAGATGTCCAGTCAACCAACCAGGGGAGGATGGGCCTCAAGGGGGATAAAACCATTCAATACTGACTCTTTTACGGGGAATGTAAACAAAGTTCCACTCCCAAACCTACCATCTCAAGTTCAGAGTAAACCATCTCCACAGCAAGACTCCTTCCACTCCAATTAGGCCAAAAAAAAAAAATAGACAGAGGATAGAATAGAATTTGATAATAAAAGATCCTTACTGGAGAAGGAATAAGGAGTTTCATCTTGACTGACTGTTCTGTCGAATGAATCTTGAGTCTTTACAGGAGAGTAAGTAAATGAGCTTGAACTGAATGAAGGGAATATTGGTGAAGGAGCTTGAGCTTCTCTTTCTTCTTCTTTTCTTACTGTTCAATCTGGTGAAGGAAATCATTCTTCTTCTTCTCATCCTTTAACATTACCTCTAGCCTCAAATAGCCCTAAAAATAGACAGAGGCATCAACTCTAATTAATTTCCTATGCTTTCATTAGTGAAAAAGCTAAATAGCCAAAAATCCCGGGAAACCGTAAAAAGAATTTATTGAAGCTGCAGCTATGAGTTCAAAAGTTCAATGGCCCATAAAATAGACAGGGGATAGAATTAGATAAGAAATGGTCCTTAAAGGAGAAGGATAATGAATCGGGAGTCTTTCTCTTTGTCTTGTCTCCCTTCTTTCTTTGATTTACTCGACAGTAAAGGTTCTTCAATCAATTCATTCTTTCACTGTAAAGGAGAGAGAAGGAATGTTTCGTCTTGCGTTGAGTCTTTCCTTGAAACACTTGAAGGGGAAGAGAAAGAGAAAGAAGGAATCTTTCGGATTTACTGACAGTTAAGTCAAATCGATTCTTCGATAGTCTTTCCTAATAGTGAACGAGAAAGAATGTTGAGAATTGACTGGCAGTTCACTCTCATTCATCTTTTGGATTGACTTGAAACACTTTCAGGGGCAGGTTCAGGAGAAAGATCAGTTAAAGAATTCATCTTGAGTTGAGGATTGACTGACAGTGAACTCTCATGTTGAGTTTTGTTTCGTCTTTCCTTAATAATGAATTAATTACCTTTACTAGATTTTATCCCTAAAAAAAGGGTAGGATAGAAAAAAATGATTTATGGTCTTTACACTCAAAAATGGGGATTTTATCCCAAAAAATAGGGAGAGGATAACTTTTTCTAATTAATGGTACTTACAGGCAGTCGAGTAAAAGAGTGTTTGAATAACTCACAATCACGGAACAAGGAGTTTAGGAGAATGATGCTTTCGTTGAGTCTTAGTTTATAGTGAAAGAAGAAATAGGGATAAGTGATTGAGTGAAGCAAACAGTGAGACCAATAGAATAGGTGAAAGAGGATTGAATGAATTTACTCTCATGTAAAGGAGCGAAGCGACCTTGTTTACAGTACAAGAAAGGAGAAGATCAAGAAGCCGAGCTGAGGTTCAATCTCTTTCCGAACTAATTACCTAAAAAATAGGGATTTTATCCAAAAATAAATAAATAAATAAATAAATAAATAAATAAATAATAGGGAGAGGATAGCTTTTTATCCCCCAAAAATAGGATACAGATAGAATGAATCTTGAGTCTTGACTTCCAGTTCACTCTAATGAATCTTGAGTCTTGATTGTTGAAATAGGGTAAAGATACACTTTTATCCCTAAAAATAGACAGAGGATAAGATTTGATCCCCAAAAATAGGGTAAAGATAGAATGAATCTTGAGGATTTACTGACGGAGAACTCTCATGAATCTTAGTCTTTATTGTTGAAATAGGGTAAAACATCAATTTTAATCAAAAAAATAAGGGAGATAGAATGAATCTTGAGTCTTTCCTTCCGGTGAACGATCATTGATTCTTCTTGAGTCTTTCCTTGAAACACTTGAAGGTGAAGGGGCAGAGCTCTGAGACCCATAGGGCGAAGGGGCGGAGCTCTAAGACCCATAGGGCGAAGGGGCAGAGTCGCTCGACCGATAGGAAGAGGAGAAAGATCAGTTAAAGAATTCATCTTTCGTCTTTCCTTTCAACACAGGTTCAGGGGAAGGCAAGTTCAGGTTCAGTAGCTCATTCATCTTTGTTTCTTCTCCCTTTAATCAATGTCTCTTTCACTGTAAACTCTAATTAATGTTTCTTCTTTCCTTCCTTTCCTGTTCAGTCTCATTCATGTTTTATCTTTCCTTCCTTTCCTGTTCAGTCTCATTCATGTTTTATTTTCTTCTTCTGTATAGGTTCTTCTAATCTCATTGCCTTCTTCCTTTCCTTTTCCCATTCCCATTTATTCATTGTAAACTCCTCTCCCTATTTACCTCTCGTGTTTGAAGGATTGAATATGCTTTACCTTGTTCAAGATGTTCCAGTCGAAATATTCTTGTTGGGTTGCATTCCATTTTCACTTTCTCCGTTCTTGCTTTCTTCAACAGTAAGAGAAGGACGACTTACACCCTCCAGAGACAGGAAGCCTCTGAAACTTTATAACGCTTTTCTTCAACAGTAAGAGAAGGACGACTTACACCCTCCTGAGACAGGAAGCCTCTGAAACTTTATAACAGTGGATTCCTTTTTTTTCCTATTCGTTTACCGTTGTGATTGTGCATCAACTAATAGAAATAGAAGCAGTGGCCTATTGCTTTCTTTTCTCTTTCTCTTCCTGTTGAAGATTAAAAAAAATATGTCAACAACAACAACAGAATTCAAACCTACGCACAGAGAGCTCAATTGATTTCAAACCTGTCGCATTAGCCACTCAAGCACATCAACATTTGTTACAAAAAACTATATTTAATTTCATAAATCATGTAAAAGTCAAATGGTCAATTTGACTTATTCTTTGTGGAGATTAAAGGGGACCGGGAATAAATTCCGTCCACAAACGTCTTTTGTCGGGAGACTATAAATACCCACAATATGTTATGTAAAATTCAGATTCGTGGATGAATGTAATTCAGATCTCAAATTGAGACGTTTCCCTTAGAAATCCGAGCATCATATTTGTCATTTCTAAGTTTCAAACAATTCTTGTGGTAGAATTGCACTTGAGCCATTCAATCAAGCCTTGATCAAGTTAGATTGTGGAGTGACTCAATTTAGAACAAGGTTTCCAAATCTTGTTTCTAGATCTTCGATCGTAAGAGGTAATCTAATTCTAGCCTTATCTCTTGGTTGATCCAAATTTAGTATATGGAGGTGTTAATTACTTTGATTCAAAGGTTCTTGCTTCAACAAAAGCTTGGATCGTTGGGCTGAGAATTAGGGTTGCCTTATCATATAGAGTCATATGAATGTGCAGCTCTTGAGAAACAATAGGAAAGACTTGAAATATAATCTGTGCCTTCGTTCCAGAGTTCATTAGGAAGTGAGTAGGGGACCGTTCCTTCCGTTCAGTAAGGGAATACAAGCATTACGGGTATTCTAGTTCTGTTGTTAAACTCTTTTTCAAAACAGTTTTCGTCAAGGGCCATGATTTCCATTCAAGTAATACTTTTCAATTAGTTGAGTTTGCTAACTCGTTGGGAGAAATCGAATGAAAGCTGCTCGAATCCTCGCGATTGTCCAAGGGTCAAATTGGATTCTGGGTTCAGTATATAGGGATCCTCCACTTCAACAGAGAAATCCACCAACTATGATAAGGAAATGTCGTGGGTTAACTAGTTTCCCCTAACTTTTCCACACCTAAAAGCAACTCCGCCAACCTGCTGATGAGAAGGGTTACTACAAGTGGTGTGATGAGATCTGTATTTCAACTTGGTTGATCATCGAGAAAGATATCCAAAAGACTAAAAAGAACCAGTCACTTTATGTATGGAGAAATAGGTTAGGAAGATCTCACGTAAAGCTGGCACAACTCCGTGAAACTCGGGTCAAATAGATTCACTCTACCACCTTTCGGTACTGGCTTCCTTTACTTCTGTTGTCTCCATATGAAGTACATTATGACCAATTGAAATTAGAGAAGAAAAGAAAAGAATATGAAGAACAAAAGTGGAGAGAAGAAACTAAGGTAAAAGAGAGAGATAAGAGTGAAAAAAAAAAAAAAAAAGAGAGAAAAGTGAGGGGCAAAGGATGAGTGAAAACCAAAAAAAAAAAGAAAAAAAAGTGAGAAAAAAATATATTATTAGAGAAAACAAAAATATTCAGTTCTTGTCCAGAAAAAACGAAGAATTTGATTTGAGGACAAATCCTTTCAAAGAAAGGGGGGATGATATGAATCCAACAACTGATCACTTCCATGTACCCGAACGAGCAATTACAAGAAGAAATAAAAAGAAGATTCAAGTATAAAATCAAGAAAATAATAGAGTAGCCGACATTAGAAAGTGATTAGAAGACTTGCCATTGATAGTTGAATTACCAATTTAGACAATTTATGAATGCCTTATTTTCTTAAATTTGTATTTAATAGCATTTATTAATAATTTGTATGAATGCCTTATTTTCTTAAATTTGTATTTAATAGCATTTATTAGTGATTTGTTGGTGGCTAAACTTTATTATGTTAGGGTTACCTTTTGGACCTATTTAAAGGCATGTAATATTCATGTTTGGGTTGAATTGAATATAGAAAAAACCTTTGTGTTTTCTTGATACCCTTTTGGT